AGGTCTGAATTTTAAAATCCTAAAGCAGGGTGTTTGAGTCAGAACCAGATTCATTATATAACTCAGAAAAGAAGTCCGAATTAGGCCTGTCTGCTGGTTGTAGCAGTTGATAATTAACCAAAGTAGTCCCAGTTTTATTTAAGTAATTACCTAGGCTTGTCTAGGCGTGAGCAGGATTCAGTATTTATTCAAGATTATTAAGACAGTTGGAGATTATTATTATTACCTAAACATGCTGTTCTAGGTGTTCAACACATAGAATTGTTGCTGGTTAATTGCAAAGACTAAGTAAAATTGTTGTATTCCTTTTATGCGTTCATAATTAGCCTAAGTGTGCTTAAGCAAATATAAATGAAATCCTAAAGACATGATATCTAACGTGCAGAGATGCAGAAGAATGTATATACAGAATCCTAAACAGGATTTCTATATGCACGAATACTACAGCGTTTAGAACATGATTACTATAATATTTAGAGATGGCATGCTTGTTAGTGTTTTTTTAGCCTAAAACAGGATCTCTAAGTGTGCATGGCAGTAGGAACATGATTGCAGAAACACTGGTTATTAACACATTTAACGCAGGATTTAAGTGTGTATGGCAGTAGGAACATGATTGCAGAAACACTGGTTATTAACACATTTAACGCAGGATTTGCTAAGTGGTATGATAGTGAAATGGACATGCTGAAAACAGTAAGTGTAAACCCTAAGGAACATGATCTCTAATGCATGAAATGAGTCCTAAGCATGGATTCTATTACGCAATTAAGAATGTAAACCTAATAACATGCTTTCTACCCCTTTTGATAGCATGCATATTTCCTATCCCTTTTCACTAGCCAACCCCATAATGTTTACAAAATATTACAAACCGTGTGATTGAATTACATAAGCAGAAATGAAAGAAAAACAAGAAGCTACAACCATAGGAAGCCTGATCTTGACTTCCTGTCTGAGTTATGTAATTAATCACTTCAGTGCCAATATTATTCCAAAGCCTTTCTCATATATGGGTGTGTCAGAGTTCCCTAAGGACCTCAAAGGATCCCGGGCAGTGCTCACACCCAGATTTGCATAACCAAACAGAATGAGTGCAGTGTGGAAGGGCCAGCTCTTATGTGTCCAAGTTCAGAGGGAGCTCAAGGGTCCCAAGGCAAGGCTCACACAAAAGGGGCAGAACCTAGATTCTAAGAGTAGGTGAGAGTGTTGGACATAGTTTGAAAAGAGTTTGTTTAAAAAATTGGGTTGAAAGTAATCAGTAACAGAGGTGATTGAAAGCAGTTGTGGTAGTAAACAAAACTCAAACTCCCAAGATGGGATCACACACAAAATCAGTAGTCATGCAAAGGGGTCAAGGGGTTTTGGGACACACATACATGTGAATGTAAACACATAACTCCATTAAGGGTCTTAGGACTAGTTGGACATGCACAATAATGGCTGATACTGGCATGATCACAGGCTAGTCAGAAAGAACATAAGCACATTGAGGGGATAGGGACTTGGGATGGCAAGTGCACAATAAGTGACTGACAGAGCATGCCTTGAAACACACATAGGGGAGTGCATTAATCTAAAGGGGAAGGGGAGACATTATAGCATGCTAGTAATGCACCTTAACAGAACCCCAAGCGGGAGTAGACCAAAATGAAAGAAGCTGAAACAAATAAGGCAGCATGTTGTTGTTGGAGCTTTAAAATTAAACTAGGACATACCAGTCAAATAAGCAAAGTGCAGAAAGGAAAAGTAAGCAGGATTCCACAGTCTAGCCTTGGCTTCAGCCGGCTAGACAAAGCAGTAGCACAAGTAGTAATAGAGAAAGAAAGAGTTTTAAGTGTGTAAGTGTGTGTTCTGAACTCAATTGTTCGTGTCCTTTTCTAATGAAAACATTGGGGTATTTATAGCTTTAAAAACGAGTAGAGAATAAGGTAACAAGTAAGGTTTTATCACAGACATGAAAATAATCACAATCAGAATCAATCAACACAAGTACTTCCCTTTAATCAAGGGATTACTGCTCAAATGGATACTAACAGGGTTAATTAAGGCAAGAAATCAGTTTGAGATAGATTGATTCTTGCCATATAAGGGGGTAGTAAAAGTATAAGATAAATAATTGAGTCTAAGTACAAAATATACTTAATTTTGGGAAAGGATTCAAGGTAAAACATCACAGTAATTAAAGGAAGAGAATCAATCAATTTAAACAAATGAGTAAAATTTAGGGTTTATAAGAAAACCTTGCAATTAAACCGTCACTTAAGGAAAGCAAGATCAATCAAGAAGTGGTCACGATTCTGCACTTCAACATATAAATAGCAAGGAATGAACAGGCGTATTAGACATGCAGGGTCAAACATATTGACAAAAGAAGCAACACAAACATATAGTAGTAGCAGGAGTAGGCTATGATTCAGTAGTAAAAGAAACCAACTCGGAGCACAGTAGTCAACAAAGTCAAGTAGTCACATAGAATCAGAAGTGAAGAAACCATAGTAACAGGTAAAGGAGATCAACATACAGAAACAAGAAAAGTCTTTAAACTCATAGCAATGAGTGAAGAGAACATTTATAAGGAATTAGGGTTTTGACAGAGCTGAGTTGAAAAGGTAGGAACTCAAGATCGGATAAGTCAAACAAGAAAAAAAGATTCAAACACAAAGAACTTAATCGAACCAAACATGCGTATAAAATAAACAAAGAGAGAGTTTCAGAAACCCAGATAGAACCAAAACACTTAGAGTTTTTAACACGATGAACCAGGTGGCAGAAAACATGGACAAACTGTTTAAACATGGTAAAATCATAAAACAAACTGAAAATCGAAGAAAAGTTTAGGAAACCCTAATTTGAAAATGAAGAGTTATTTTGAAAGAAAATCGAAGAACCTTTGAGAAAACACTAAGAAGTTCATAACATGCATAGATCTAAGACAGATATGAAAGAAAAATCGGAAAGCTTTTAAAGCTAGGGTTTCAGAGAACTCAGAAAAGTGAGAAAGACTTCGAAAGGTTACCGATCTAGCCGGAAAAGCCATGGATCCGACTTGAACGGTCATGGGTGGCCGGAAAAAGACCAGAGATAGAGGTTGAGCATGGACTGGATCAGATCTCTTCGAGATCTGTCCATGGAATCACGAAAATAGGTAACCAGTAGACATAGGAGACGAGTACACGCCTCAAACCGCCATGAGAGTCCATGGATTAGGTGGGGATTGAAGGGAATTAGGGTGGATTTGGGTGGCGGCGGCTATGGTTTAGGTGATGTTGCAGAGAGAGTTTGAGAGGAAGGGATTCAAGGGCGGCGGGTGGTGAGCAATGATTTAAAAGGGGTAGGTGGGGATCCGGGTTTGGGTAGGATTTAATTGGGTAAGGGTCTGGTTTAAATTAAAATTGGGCTGGGGAATTGGGGTTCAATTTAGGCTAAAATTGAAATACAAATGGGCTGTTATTTAAATAGCCAATTTCCCCTTTTTAAATTATAAGAAATAGTAAATGGCTTCTGAATATTAATTTAAAATAACATATAATTAACAATTTAAAAATACGGGACCCCATTTTATAAATATATAACCTAATTAAACCTTGAAAGGGCTAATATTGCAATTATATGCAATTTAGCTTTGAAAATACTAAATAAAATTGTAAAAATTACCTTAGCCATATTTTGGCATAAATATAAAAATCCAATAGATGAATTACCAAAATAATAATTTTGAAAATAATTATTGGCGATTTTATGGATGAGAAAGGGAAATAAATCAATTTAAAAACCCTTAAAAATTATGGAAAAAATAATAAAAATGCTTGGACATGCTTATATATGCATATATATGCTATTTTGAAAGTATTTTTGCATATTGAAAATATATAGGAAAAAATTGGGTATCAACACTATCTTCACTGACAATCATTGAGCATTGGTATTTGGTGTATAACATTTTCGGATTCGGCCCTACATCATTAATATATCTAAACGTTAGATCTAGTGGTTATTATATTTAACTAGGATTCACCCTCTATTTTCTCATTAATTCGTTTTAAAAAAAGGTTTAGCACTTTTTTGGTAAAACACTTCTCTGAAAAGTGCGAATAGGAGCAGAGGATCTAGGAAACAAGGAAAATTGTTTGAAGAATTGAATGAGAACAAGTTTATAGCCGCCACGCCAATAATTTTTTTATACGATGACAGTATAAATGGAATTTTGCACTATCAAATTACCTAGCTAAAAGATGATTACTACCGGCAACCGTACATAATAAGTAGGTCGAAATTAGTAGCCTAAAGAATAAGATATGTTATCTGGTACAATACTACAAAAAGTATGTATGAAGCCTGAAACTTCAGACCCATTATATATTTTTGACTTCAGTTTCGCGAGTTTAAATTTGATCCTAAGACAGTTAAACTTTACAAAATTTCTAAATTTCGGCTAATATTTAGCGGTCCTCCAAGTGGCTATTTGTGCACTGCCCCATAAATTGATGGAAGGGCAAGTTATGTATTTGGACGATCAGCAAAAAATAATTATATCCACTAGCCAACAAAAAATATACACTGGTAAATATGTATATTTCTTGAATATTATACATTAATTATAAAAAATATACATTTTGCTACTATTACTTTTTAGGGATCTTTACCCAAATAGTATGCGATATTCATTGTTTATTTTTTCTAGCCATATACATAGATTATATATATATATATATATATATATATATATATATATATATATATATATATATATATATATATATATCCACTAGCTATTTTTAGTGTAAGTGATTTGAGTGGACTTTTTTGGGGTTAATTCTTCTACTTTTAGCGGCTATATTGTGCAGCTTTCCCTTGATGGGGGTATTATATTGGTGAGTGGGCTTATCCAACCAATTTTTGATTAAACGGGCTTATATTAATGCACAAATCCTAAAGCATAATATAATGGGCATAAGCCCATATAAATGCAAAGTAGTGAGTCCAGATCCAGATACAGAAAAACCTTGCACTATATCACCTCCTCGAAAACCCTAATATTCACTCGACATCACACGCCATTAGCCTCACTCTTCGCCTCTGGTCAGCTGCTTCCTCAAATCGTCGAAAATGGTACGTATTCACTCTTCACAGAGTTATGCATTTCCGTACTCTGAGATTTTATGTTGAGATTTGTAAAAATGTAATGGATTTTGTTTTCTGTAGCCGTTCAAGAGGTTCGTGGAGATCGGAAGAGTCGCCCTTGTCAACTACGGGGAGGACTATGGGAAGCTCGTTGTTATCGTCGATGTCATAGACCAAAATAGGGTAATTTTGCTTCACTGAGCAATTGTTATACTCTAATAGTTTCTCGGTAATCAAATATACATATTAAACTCCGTGTTTAGCTGAATACATTCATGAAAAATGAAATAGAGTACTTTGGAACCGTTTGCCATGCCTTCTGGCAAGGACAAAAAAGGATATTATATAATAGTAGTACTTTGGCTATTAAAAAAGGTTATTATGTATTGAGCTGATTTATTTTTCTTAGTTAGATATGCTTGAGGCCTATGATGGAACATGACAATATGCCTACATTGTCTGATCATATAAAACTTGATTGAGCAACATGATCTGAGGCCTTGATGTAATAATTCTACAGAAGTAGTTTTTATGTGTTTAGATGGTAGTTTTTGAAATTAGCAGCTTCATAAGTCATTTGCAGTTGTTAAATACTGGGCTTGTTTTAAGAAAGCTGTATATCTGCTTACCCGTTTTATTCGCTTTTCAGTGAGCGAGTATTTTTATTGATAGGTTGTGGTGTTCTTTTTTTCAACATTGGATTGGTTCCATGGATTATTCTCATTTGTGGCTTATATACTTGAATAAAAAATTTCTTTGTAAAGTTGTGGGGAGTTACTTGTTCTTCTGCCGTGTGGAAATCTCCATGAATGATCTTGACTGTAATGTCAGCTATTCCCTTTAGTTAACAGAAGTTACAATGAGAAAGATAATTTGATTTTCCTCAACTGAACTGTTTTTTCGGTTGAAAGCATTCCCCAAGGAAACTGCGCAAAGGACTATATTATTGTGTCAAGGGACACATTATCTTCTTCTAGGATCTTTGTGCTTTCTTTCTGTTTCGTGCGTTTCTTTGCATTTTAGCTAATTGATATAGGTTTTTACTTATGTTTCATTCCCTTTATATCTCCTTTTAATACAATGAACAAAAGTTGAAATTGATTGATGGATAGTTTAAGCTTGACAGTAGCTAGTTACTTAATTGATTAAAATAGCTGTTGAAAATGAAGATATTTTAAACTGATTTGTGTTTATAAATCTATCTTTTCTCAATTGGTAGGCGCTTGTTGATGCTCCTGACATGGTGAGGAGCCAGATTAATTTTAAGAGGCTTTCACTCACAGATATCAAAATTGACATCAAAAGGATCCCAAAGAAGAAGACCCTCGTTGCTGCTATGGAGGCTGCTGGTAAGTACAGTGCTCAAGAGATTTTCTTTTTGTTTTAGAAGATGTAGATTAGCAATTGACGTTAGCAGCTAGTTTTATGAAGTTTGACCACTCATTTGATTTTCATTCTCCCAGATGTGAAGAGCAAATGGGAGAGCAGTTCCTGGGGAAGAAAGTTGATAGTTCAGAAGAGGAGGGCCTCACTTAATGATTTTGACAGGTTCAAGCTTATGCTGGCAAAGATAAAGGTGCGATTATGTCTTTCACTTGGCTTCATTTTGCTTGACTCGTTCATTCTACCAATCCCTAAACACCACTTTTGGGTAAGCAGGATCAGAGTGATATTCTTTGCCTGCGAAAGTCAGAAAAAGGTGTCATCATTAAACTGAAAAAGCAAAATGATAATACCATTCTTGCCCTAAAATTTGTATTATGGACCAATATTTCTTTCTCAACTGTACTTGACCGAGTTAAATGGTGATACCTGAAAAAACAGTTGATCATGTGGCTAGTTATAATTTAGCTGGCTCCCCTTTTTGTTTGCATGATATTTGTGGGGTCTCTCATTTGTATTTAATATCAAAGCTGATACATTTGTTTTGACATTGCAGAAGGCTGGAGTTGTAAGGCAGGAGCTTGCTAAGCTTAAGAAGGAGGCTGCTTAAGAACTCTTTTATTAGTGAGATTTGTATGATAGGAGTTTTGGAAGTTGTTTGCGTTTTGCTTTTAGATTTTGGTTCATTACTGGCAAGTCTTTTGGTTTTATCTTTGGTGTCATTGAAGACGCCTAGAAATCAGTTTCCCAATAGTTTTAATTTGAATTATGATGGTGAACATTTTCTTCCAAAGTTTCAAGGATTACCTTCGCAGACACTTGATTTTGTTGCTCAATTTGTTTTCGTTTCATACAAGTGATATCACTCCGCGTGATAAATCATTTTAGGTAATGAGATGTTGCTCAATCTTTTCATACAATAACATTTTGCTCGGAGGTGTTATTTCAATAGTAACATTTTGAAGGATTCCTCATACCCCACACTATGGGAATATACTATATATGTTATATAAAAGATTGTGTCATCATGAGAAATGATTTACATTGCCTATTCTGTCAAAGCATAGCTAATCTAGTTGGACAAGTTGAGTCCTTGAGAAATTCAACATTTTTTTCAATTCAGAGTCCTTTTAGGGTAATGTGCAAATATTTTTTGGATCTTTACTCTTTATTTGTACTTCATAGTACTGTTTGGAATATTTCCACAAATTATTAACTTCGGACTGAAACTAGAGGTATATTGGTCTTGAAATGAAAGTACATATGATTTTTGGAGTGGACGGCCGAATTCTGAAGGTTTAATCAAACAGAGATATCAAAACCTCCTGCAAACTCTACATTGACTCATTTCCTATCTCAATGTAAAGGAAGCAAGAGGGAAATGGATGAGGAGAAAACTCAAGGCCTTTCATAAGTGGATACGGAATAAAGCGTCCATAATAAAGGTGTTTACTGTCTGTTCTTGATTCAACACACTTCCATTGTAGTGCCTGAGTAGATATTGTTACTTTCTCTTGAACCATAGTACTATTATTTGATTAGATCATCAAATCTTTTATTAGAGAAACACAAGATACTTGCTATACTTTTCCTTTATGTAGCTGAGGAAAAACACAAGAGAAAGAGCAAAGAATTTGGCCTTCCGTTGGCATGTACTTGAAATAAATTAAATAAATTAAGGAGGGAGACTATGGCAGTCATCAATGGATATGCATGTTATTCCTGATTTCCAAACCAAGGTTCAAGAACGTGTTCAAGAACAAATGTGAAAATGCACATATATATATCATAATCCAGGGCAATTGCAAAATCTTTCCCAATAATATTAATCACCACAACCACTTGCGGAATCCGACCATCAGAATATTCCTAGGCTGACTTAAAAAGATGCATTCAAACCCCCAGAAAAGAATTCTCTCACTAGACATTCCAATAAGGAATAAGGTAAAAGTTACATCAATTCGTACAACAATATTTATCAAGCTGCCCGTCCCACGCATATATATAGAACTCTTGCACTTGACTCAACATTTCTTTGGATGAGTCTAAATGAGCTATGGTCGCCCAGAACTCTATTAACAACAAAACAAGGAATATGAGAAGTTGGATCAGCTTCAATTGTCACATAGAAGGTAAAACATTTCCAATTTACAGCGCTTGAGACATCCTTAAATAGGATTGCATGTTCAAACAATCAGGAAATTTTCTCTTTACAAGTGCATCCCCTTACTTTCTGATAGAAAGAAACTCAAAGCTCCGAAGAGGGTTGTCATGGGTACCCTTTGTGACTGAAGTTCGAGAGAATGATGATGGTTTTGGTTCGATTCCCTGCTGAATTCTTTGTGTGGTAGATAGACGGCCAGTGCTTGACACTAATCTGCTTGAGCGACTATCTGTGGGTTCACCAGAAGAGGTCGGTCTGCTGCTTGAAATGGCAGCCCTTCTTGAAGAGCTGCCATTTCTCGAGGTACGGCCTCTTTCTGAATCAGCTTGCTACAAATAAGAGTAGAAGATTACTAGTTTAGCATGCATCAGCTTTTTACCTAGTCAGCTCAATGCTGCAAATTTTCTATCACATAAAATACAGAAATATATCTAGGATTCAGAATTATCAAGTCATTGCATTAACCAAGAGGAATAAGCATCTACAGAACAGCACAAAACTCTCCTATCCAATTGAAAGAAAACGGATTTTTCTTTTTGTTTCTTGTGTTCTTTTTTTTTTTTTTTTTTAGGGGTTGGGGGGGGGGTCAAAAAGGAGGGATCAATACCACGTCTTTAGATGAAGGTACATCCTCTGAAGTCCGATGTCTGGAGTGTTCCCCATGCCTACCAGCCGCAGAAGTATTCCTTCTGGAAAATGCTTCAACAGCACCAGAAAACCTGTCTCGAATATCTTGCCCCACTGGATTATAGAATTAACACATCACAAGCGTCAGTGAATGATAAATTGCCAAAAGCTGCAAGTTTACAAACAAGCAGAGGCAGCAAATGCTAGCAAAAGTTCAAGAGCTGAATCCTCATAATTCAGGGAAGAAAGGGCATGCATTTTCCAAATAATCTGATACTCAAAATCAAGAACAAAGACTCACATATAGAAAGATCTTCTTCTTTTGTGCTCTTTTATTTTTTTGATAGAGAACTTTTATATTATTATTATTATTGTTATTACTACTACTATTATTTTCTACATATTGAACTTATTTTTTGGTTTTACTTTTATTTGGTATGATGATGACATGAGTTGAGCTTAAAGGAAAAACATGGTCCATGAGGATTCATAGAGATGACCCCAACTTGTTTGGGATTGAGGCATAGTAGTAGTTGTTGTATTTTTTTGATGTCTCATAGACAGAAAGATATGATCTTGACATTTGTCTTGCTTGAAGAAATAACTGAAAATGCAATAATCAAGCTAGCTGAGTAATTCCTAAAACCAGCTACCAAAAATTTCCACAACTTCAGTAAAAAGATAATACCTGACGTCCTTCCTGGTCTTTCAGCAGATGGCCCAGCATTTACTCCAGCGTTCCCACTAGGAATCTGGAAGCAAGACAATGCATACACTACTGTTCATAAAAAAGATTAAGCAACAATTTTCAATGATAACCACCAAAATAAAGTTTTCAAAACTAACTCGTCCTCTAGAACTGGCACCGATCTGAGGATACTTCAAAATTGTCCAATCAAATACATAGTCAAATTGATAACCTGCACCGACGAAAGAAAGTTTTTTTTTTTTTGGATCGTTATGAAAGTTAAAGATACAAAGCCCACATCATATCTATCAAAGACTAAAGTTGGGGTAGTTAACAATTGGGATATATTTTGGACCAAAACAGTATCACTTTAGATAAAAGAAAGAAAAAACAAGAGAAACTACCTTCACGAATAAACAAGTCTCTGAAAAGCCTCTTCAAATATGAATAGTCAGGTTTATCCTCAAATCTTAATGATCGGCAGTAGTGGAAGTATGATATGAATTCAGATGGATATGATTTGCACAGAACCTGTAATGGACAAAAAATGGAGTCTTCTCCGGATTACCTCATGCACTACTCATCAGAGGCAAGAGGTCCTAAACTAAGGCCAGAATATTATCCACAAAGACAACAGTACAATTCACCAGAATAAATACATTTGACATGACCCATATTGATCCAACCCAGGACAGTTTCGTGTTTCGATCACAGTTCAATAAGATATTGAGACGAGGATCACAGCTTAAACATAACGGATGTAGTGATAATTCAAAAATTGTGAGTAGGTAACAGACCACCAAGATGTATTGATTTTAGGGAATAAGTACCTCTATTGGTGTTAACATCTTTTTCTCACTGATTTTATCATATTTCTGCTTCTTGGTACCAGCTTTCAGTCCCTGCCATGGAAGGCTGAGCCAAGAAGAAATTACCCAAATTCAGAAAACAAGTAAACCCAGAATTTAAAACAAGAAACAGAACAAGGTCAGAAATATGGCTAAAGAAAACATATAAGTCCAACCTTCCTCTAAGAAAATACATAAGCACATAACCAAGAGATTCCAAATCATCTCTTCTGCTTTGCTCTGCCAGAAAAATGAAAAAGGACAACAATATATTAGTTGTAAGTAATATTGAAGCTAGCTGTGCCCCTAATAGTTTGCCAACCTAAAAAATTACACCTACCAACTCCGAGATGTGTGTTGACGCTGGCATACCGAGCTGTTCCTGTCAGATTCTTGTTTTCCCTGGGGAAAATAGAAGAGAAGAGCACACCAGAGGCAATCAAGATACAAATTTCTCAAAACAGAGGAAAAGAACGAAACAATGAATCAAAAATTTGAACAACGTGCGGTCTTTATTTTTTCATCCTTTTGCTTCTACAGTCCCTTCATGGACAGTGAATGAACAAGATAAAATGAAAAACTGTTGATTTTTCATATTGAAGCAGAACTTTAAACGAGAAAGAACTCTAGCAAAGCCAGTTAGCTCAACAAATTCATATAACTTTTTACTAAAGGAAACAGCAAACACCAAATGTGAATGGCGTTTCTGATGCTTCTTCTCTTCTTTTCTTATAAGGTGAATAATTTTATTAAAAGTTGGAATATCTCCTATACACATCCGGTTACCAAAAAGTTTGAGAATCTATAGATAATATGATTCTCTACAAATAATACTTAGTTTTAAATACAGAATAGAGCCTCATCATGCTTCTTCCTTGATCAATCTTCCGCACTAAATAACGGGAAAGATATGGCAACAACATTTTCAAGAGAGAGAAAGATGGAAACAACAATCTCAATAAAAAATACTAAGATATGAATTTGGCCAACACTGCAGTGATGTCTTTGTATCTATACAATGCTAGACAGCCATTAAGTGCATTAAAGAACATAGTTCATTTTCTGAAATTACTGGAAATACTAAATGTGTCTTCCAAAAGGCTCCCTTCCTATTAGGACACTGATGTCATAAATATTAAATATCATTCTAGCAATTGAAATACTCAGCTCATTGGCAAGGCAGTGCCAACTAAATTAAACAACTGTCCTATAGAATGTCATTGAGCTTCTTAACAGTCGGAACAGAATCTTATACAGTAACATCTTCCTAACCATTTTGAAATGCAAAAGTATTTTCATCCTGCATCTTTCCAGTAATTTCTAAGCATGTTTCTTTTATTTACACAGCTTCCATATAAGAAACTGGCCAAAGATGCCATCAAAAGAAAAAGTAGGAAAAATTCTGGAAGGAGGTTAAAAAAGAAAAATAGGACATTAAGCACCGGAAAGTTCACACAGAAAAATTGAGACTTTACTTTCATACTTGTTCAAATAACAAGTATCAACATTCACCAACCCTGTATTAGGTGTTGCATATACCAGGGTGTACAGAAAGTGTGAGTTTAATTTTGATGTTGCCCTTCTAGCCTTTTGACTTGATGGCTGAGAAAGGGTAAATCATTTTCTCTAAGTTGCTTAACTGGCTATATAATGATGTATTAAGTTGTCCGCCACTAAATATTTACTGGGAGATCTTAATTGGAATATTAAGTGCTTCTAGCCGTTAAAACTATTTACAACCAAATTCTCACTATTGCTTTGATTAGTCCAACCAAGTCTCTAGAACTCATAGACCAGGCACCAAACAAACAAAATTGTTGCTGATGGAAGTTTGCTAGGGACGATGAAAGAGAACCAAAACTCTGCTCCTCAACCCCCCCCCCCCCCCCCCTTTAATAATGCTTATTTACAAGCATACAGAGAGATGTGAGTAACAACTGCAAGGACCGAAAAAAAGTAACATTGTTGCTACCTGTATGGTATATGCTTGTGAGTCTGGAGATCCCTATACTTTTTGGCAAGCCCAAAGTCAATGGCGTAAACCTGCCATCAGTATATAGATCTAAATATATATATATTTTATTTGGAGTAAAAACCGCCAAATCATCAAGAGAAAACTATAAGCTTTTAACACCGAGAATATATCAGCCAGCACCACCACAAAATACTTACAAGCTAAATCTGTTGAAGCCAAAAGAACAAGTAAAGAGTTAAGGACTGACATGAACCTATACTTAATTTTCTCTGCATAGGTAAAAGGAGCAGAGACATGACATGTAATCCAAGCATTCTGTCAGTCTGACAGAACATGAACAAGTACCTGGTTTGCCTTGCGACCTAAGCCCATTAAAAAGTTGTCTGGCTTTATGTCACGGTGAAGAAATCCTCTAGAGTGCATGTATTCAACTCTATTAATCTAAGAATGGCACAGGAGAAGATTTTATTAACTCAAATGCATAGGGAAACATGCAGAAAATTATTCTCTAAAAGAATGAGATGCTGATACTTACAAGTTGATCTGCTAGCATAAGCACTGTTTTCAGAGTAAACTTCCTGTTGCAATAGTTGAAGAGGTCTTCCAAACTTGGTCCAAGAAGGTCAATGACCATTATATTGTACTCGCCCTCAACTCCAAACCATTTGAGATTAGGAATCCCGGCTTCAGCAGAATGGCAAAGATAAGGAAATTAATTCACTATTCATAAAAGTCCCATTGACAAAGTTATTTGCTATTTAATGCAAATGACCAAAAATTCAGACAAGCCATTGAACTAATAGGTCTTTTTTTTGGTTCAACTAATAATTTGCTTACAAGATAGAAGACATATAAAGGAACAGAAAATCTCCAAAGAAGCAACTAGACAAGTCCATTAATTTGAAAACCAAAGAAGCAAGGAAAAACAGAGGATAGTACTTAAATAGAACTTTCGTAGCACTCCACTATCCCCCCCCCCCCCCCCCTTTAGACATCCATGAATAAAAATCACATTTGCAGCATATATTTTAAAGAGATAATATGCAAGATTAGATTGATGAAGTGAGACTTACTTCCTCCTTGGAGAAGCATATAAATTTTGGACTCATAGTGTAGTTGAGGGTGCCTTGTCTTGACTGATTCCTGAAAGTTGAAGTAACAAAAAGAAAAAAACTTAGAACAGACCAATATGTGAAAAGTTTGAGTCAAAACGCACAGGTCATTAAAACAAATTCTTGTGATATAACCTAGCAAAATAAATCCAGAAAATCAGTCTTGCATACCAAAAGCAGCATGACGCCAAAGAATGTAGAAGCTCGCGGAATGAGATAAACATGTCTCCTTTTGTAATTCAACTTAACAAAGTTTTCTTATTTGGTTAAGAAGCTTTTAACACATAAAAAAGCTTTCCCTGAGCTAGATAGTACATTTCTACTTAGACTACAACAACCTCTTCCAGAAAACATAGTTATACAACAAACTAGATCAGATGCTACTCATAATATTTGGATTGGTGGACTTGCTGAGTCGCAACTTAGATATGCTTCTATTGAATATAACAGTTTTCAGAATTCATCAAAGAGTATTATCAGCTGAAAGATTTGGAGCCTTGTCCAAATGGTATTATCAGCTGCCTGTCTAGCAGCCTATCTAGATACAGAATTTACATAACTGATTCCGGATTAACGCATACTAAATTTATTGATGTAACAACAACAACTAAACGTATTAGACATTACACAAGAACATCGAATGCAACCATGTGAACTCCCTGTATACAGAAAACAAAAGAAAGTAACAGAAAAAGATAGACTATTGTTGGTTGGGGACGGGCACATACCAGCTTAATAGCAACTTCCTCTCCATTCTGTATATTCACACCTGAATCAACAAAGCAGCAAGGAGCAGAAACAATAAGATAAAAACATAAGAGCAGGTCAAAACTACTTATAACACAAAAGGTCAAAACGAAGAAAATGAGGCTAATCATAAATCATATATAATCAAACCGAATCAACAAGCAAAATCAATGGAACATACCTAAATAAAGTTCACCAAAAGACCCACTTCCAATCTTTCTTCCCAGCTTAAACTTCCCACCCACAACATGATCCATGATGATCCAATCAACCTCTTCACCAATTACCAAGAACAAACTTTTACAGCGATTACCCGCTGTTTTACTCAGATTGAACCTCAATAAATTTAGGAAGTCCCAAAAGACCCAAAATCCAAAAAGGTAATTAATCCCCAGAAAAGTAAGCACCTTTAAGGATCAGAATATATAGTTAAAAATACAAATTTCAATCTGAAATTACCAAGAACAAGACTTTTACAGCGATAATCAACTTATTTTTACCTCAGTAAATTTAGAAAACAAAGAAATTCCCCATGATTCCAAACAGATAATTGATCTCCAGAAAAAAGTAACCACCTTTAAAGATCAAAATCTATGGTTAAAACAATCCAATTTCAATCAGAAACCCAATTCCTAGAAATTACGGACCAAGCAACACACTAATTCAGCTACATCCTTCGATTAAATGCAAACGCCAGCTAATAATCTTCAAATAACCATAACAAATAGAAACCCTAATTTACAAGTAAAGTCACCGATCCCCATTGATCAATAAAAAACAATCAATGTACGAACCGATAAGTACAAACGAGAAACTGGTGTATCTCTATATATTATCTGTATATAATCTGTTTGGTTTGTTTGACAGAGGAATAGAGAAAAGAGCGACTCTTTGAAAAGAAAGCAAATTGATTTTAATTTTGATTTTGATTTTTGCTGAGGAAAAGCAAGGAGCGCTATGAGGAGAGAGAGAGAGAGGATTGATTGAATGAATATACTGCGGTCTACGTGTGGGTGGGGATCGAAAAAAACAAAGGACAGGGACAAGAAAAATGAGGAAATGCAGGTTTGTTGTCATGTAAACTTTTTCTCCTTTGTGTCTTTACTGTTTCTTTTTTCCCCAAAATGTAAAATAGGAACAACATTTTCTTTAAAAAGATACTAATTGTTATAAATAGAATTGTATTTATGGTGAATGTCTATATTTAGAGATTTTAGGGTTCATTGCTTGGTGGCTAAGTCACCGTCTCCCTATAAATAGAGGGTCCTATTCTATTGTAATTCATCCCAATCTCAATAAGAATTCTCTCTCTACTTTTCTCTGCACGTTATCAGCACGAGACTCTAATCAATTGAGTAGAAGCTTTGGGATTGAGCATTATGATTGAGTAGAAGCTTTGGGATTGAGCATTATAAGGTAAGTATTTTACTTTATTTTTCTCTTTTAAATTCTTGAAATTCTATAATTTGATTTTATATACAAGCAAAGACAACAAAGTTTGATTATAACTCTAATGGAGTTTGTAAGAAATTATAACCACCTGAAGTGGTAAAATTTCTACGCCTTGCGATGATCAAATTCATGTATGATTGTGGGCAAAGAAGTGGAAGTCGTCCATTGAATTTGCTTCATTCACATTCCCTTAAGAGAATGTGATATCAGTATGTAATACGTCTGAAAGAAGACAAAATTATTACCATGAATGATCAATGGTTGTGGACGTGGCAATAGACGAAATTATAATCGTCATCATTGTGGTAATGAGAACAATAAGGATTCTCAAAATAATCCTTCACTTTGTGAAAGTAATATTTGTCATCGATTTGACATGAGATTTTGTAAAACACATATAGATGATTATGGTTCATTCATGATGTGAATGTGACAACATGTGATTTATGAATACATATTCATTCTTGAAGAATATGAACGTGCTAGTGGTAGTGAATATACCACACTCACCTCTAGAATGAGGTTTGAGAAGAAATAAGAAAATAATGTCATTATTATGGCATGAATGATCATTGGTCACATACCTATTGTACGCCAAAATATTTTGGCGATGTGATTATTAAAGGGCAACAGTAATGTAAGGAACATATCCTGTATAGAATTCTGACCATGACCATAATGGTATAACTTTCTCTTTAAAAGAGATATTCACCATATTAATGTTGATGAATACGTGGTAGTACCAAAATTAATTGAGAGCTCTGGAAGAGCCAATTATCACTATTTTGGAGAAATAAAATTGATTATCAATAAGATATTGTGTTGTAGTAAGTCTCAAAGAAACTTATTTAGTTTCTAAAGTATTCGCGAAATGGGTTGGTTATATTGAGACTATAAATAAAGGAAAGATTTAATATCTTCTATTACTACAACTTGTAGCGGGGTTATATGTATGTGAAAAGTTACCCGCTTTATTCTCCAGTTTGTACTACACAAACAAAATAATGCCACAAAAAAGAGAAGTTTATTGATATAAAAACCCATATCATAATAAACTTGGAGTTTATTGATAATTGCACACGTCATGGTGTAAATCTGAAGTTTATCAATATTGATAATTTATTCAGTTGGCATAATTGGTTTACCCGTATCAATTTAAGTATGATGTGCAAAAATAAAAGAGAATTCACATGGGTAAATATTAAAGAACTAGAAAGTTCTTTAGGAATTCTCTTAGGTTGCTTGTTCTCATTAATTAATAGACCAACTAAAATTGGGATTAAATCCCATGAATGCTGGAAATATCAAAGGTGAATATGGGCCCATTTACCTGTCATGTATACCACATAAGATGCATCTATGAGATGGTTACATGTGCAATTATTATTGACCCGCAACCTGGTGTTTGCGAGGTAACTTGCTCAATACTTTAATTTAGAGCATAATTTCCAGATTTTTTATTCAAGATAGTTCTTCTTGATAAGTTTGTTTACATCACAGTTGGTTTAGCAAAATAATTTATTGAGTGCCTCTACTTAATAGTTAAACTATTTCTTATAAGAACAAAGATATATATATCAGTTTGGTATACGTTATATACCAAAGTATATTATTTTCTCCCCTTACAAGTGGTTCAGGGTCAGGAACCAAATAATTCCATCTTATTATTATTGATGTGCGGTGTATATTTTGATTAACACCATAACGCACAAAGGTGGATTCTCAAAGTTGAGGTAACAAGTTAGTTTTTCTAACATGAGGGGGAGACATGATAAACAGTTGAGAAAAAGTTACGTGGAATGAATTATCATTTGTACATCTAGATCCTCGAATAAGATAATATGAACTTGAAGTTCATAAAAGGATAATTCATTTGCAATATATTGCAAAGCATGCCAGACGCATTTGCTGACCCAAAGAAAGTAACTATATTCTCATTGCAAATGCTCCTATTAAGTCCTAGAAGGACAAAGTCTATGGTACGCTTAAAGCATATAGACAAATTGGTTTCAGATAAACTTCTTGATAAAGAATATGAGCAAATGATCAAAATGATCATAATAAAGGAGACAAGTGATCTAGAAGATCACATGACATAATACTTCATAAAATTCAAGAGAGTTTTAGGTACCAGAAATGTATGAAGAGATCTCTATGTTATGTCTTCATTAAAAATGTTGAAACCGATATAAAATGTTCGTCGACGACATCTATGATACCGTTAAATATATATGAAGATCTTAAGTCTGGAGAAACAATTTCGAATAGAATTGGTTTCATATGAAAGACATGTAGTTCAAACACTTGAAAGTATAAAGTCAATGGTATGTGCAATCAGTTTTCGATATCTTATATGTCTAGCATGACATGAAAACTTGATATGCATCTAAAGTCTATTATATGACTTATATAACTTAACAATCCCTGAATGATTTAAATTGCTTAAAGCATATAAAATTCATGGTCCTGAAGTACTACATCCTCAGTGCAATTTGTTCACAAATGTATCTTGCTATAACTATAGGCATGATAATATGATAGCAAGAGTTTTCACCTCTATGTAAAGATATTGAACTGACGATTCCAACAAGATCATATGAAGACAATTCATCTCTATCAAGAATGATGATTTCAAGGTGCAATATATTCATTCAAGTTAATATGGCTGATTTGTTAATCAAATCTCTACCAAAGATCTTTTGAAGATGGTGCACAAGATTGGAATGCAAATGCTTAAGGATGTGAATTGATGCTCTCATCAAGGGGGGTTAATGCGCGTTGCGCTCTTTTTCCGTTAAAAGGTTTTGTCCCACTGGGTTTTCCTTGCAAGGTTTTTAACGAGGCAACCAAAAGGCATATTATAGATATGTATACTCTTTTTCCTTCTCTAGAATTTTTTTTCCCACTGGGTTTTTTTTAGTTAAGGTTTTAACGAGGTACATTATCTGTTGAATAGACATTCAAGGGGGAGTGTTATAAATAGAATTGTATTTATGGTGAATGACTATATTTAGAGAGATTCTAGGGTTCATTGTTTGGTGGCTAAGTCACCCTCTCCCTATAAATAGAGGGTTCTATTCTATTGTAATTCATCCCAATATCAATAAGAATTCTCTCTCTCTACTTTTCTCTGCAATACTCTTGTTCTTCATTTATTGTTTTATAACACTAATTAATTTGCCTTGGACACACCCATTAAGCAAATACTAAATTCTAGATAAAAATAGTTAGTGTGACTAAATTAACCTTAATTAAATATTGCAGCATAATTTAATGTGATGAGTAAAAGATTTTTTAGGGATACGTACAATCGTACATAAGGGTAATTTTGTTAAAATAAATTGAATTTTTTCTTGATTATATAAATGGACACTTATTTTGAATCAAAATAAAAAGATAAATTGGTCACTTATTGTGGACCGGAGGGAGTATTAATTAGTTAAATCGAGTGCAATGTCCGTTTCCAAAACTTACAAATATTAATTAGAATACCAAAGAGAAAATAATTTACGTATACTAATTTAGTAAATTCGAATAACAAGGATATTAGGAACGGAAGAAATTTAATTAAGATGAAGGGATTTCAATGATTTCACTGGACCTTTTGGTAGTGTTTTAATTTCTTCAAACCTTTTTCATCGCGATTCATGATATAAACCAAAATAGTTTAGATGATAATGAATTAAATTGAGAGGTGCGAAAGAACTAGAGCCGTAAATATGGGTTTGGCCTGTTGGGCCAGTATAGTCCGTGATTTAATACGGTTGGGCTAGAATTTTTGGAGCCCTTTTAAAAATGAGGCTTTTAAGCCCGTACCGAGGAAGCTCGTGGCCCGTGAGGCTTGACTGGGGCTGTGTTGGGCCGGCCTGTGGGCCTAATAAAAATATTTTTTTAAAATATATAAAATATAAAAAGTATACGACACTAAAAATAACAAGAAGAGTATCCCAAGCTTAAAGTTTATTAAGCTCATCATATTAAAAGATCAACGTCTTAAAATATTAATTAATTTTTAAAAATTAATTATTTATAATATTTAACTAATTAATATTGCATATGAATTGTAGATATAGATGTAAGTGAAGATGTTAAGACAACATTCTCACAAGCGGAATCAAATGTGTTTGATAAAAATGATGTTTTGGATATCCCATAAGCGTCATGGACGTTCTCTTAAATAGTTTGTTTTGAGTTTTGAAATTTAGGGAATGAAATTTAGAGCCCGTTTGGCTTAGCTGATTTAGAGTAGCTGATAAGCATTAGGTGTTGAAAAGCACTTTTAAGTGCTGAAGCTGATTTAAAAAATAAGCAGTTACGTGTTTGGACAAAAGTGTTGAAATTAATAATAAGCAGCTGAAAACTGGGTATACGAAGAGTTTTGTTCTAAAAAGAAGTATTTTAGGGATAGAATAGTAAATATTTTGGTCAAACCTAAAGTGCTTATAAGCTGAAATTTGATAAGTTGGGGGAGACCAACTTATGGCTTTTGGCTTGTTTTTGGCTTATAAGCACTTAACTTATAAGCACTTTTAATTTTACCAAACGCGTAGATAAGCCAAAAAGTGCTTATAAGCCAGTTTGACCAGCTTATAAGCTTAGCC